TGACACCTGTGACCCAATACCAATCCCACCCAAAGCATGCACGAGGTACCTACATAACTGACACCTGTGATCCAACACCAATCCCACCCAAAACATACACAAGGTACCTTCAGAACTGACACCTATGACCCAACACCAATCCCACCCAAAACATACACAAGGTACCTTCAGAACTGACACCTGTGAACCCAACATCATCCCCCACCTGAAACATGCACAAGGTACCTTCAGAACTGACACCTGTGACCCAATACCATTTCTACCCAAAAACAAACACAAGGTACCTTCAGAACTGGCACCTGTGACCCAATACCATCCCACCCAAACATAAGGTACCTTCAGAACTGATACCTGTGACCCAACACCAATTCCACCCAAAACATACACAAGGTACCTTCAGAACTGACACCTGTGATCCAACACCAATCCCACCCAAACATATACAAGGTACCTTCAGAACTGACACCTGTGACCCAAAACCATCCCCACCCAAAACATACACAAGGTACCTTCAAAACTGACACCTGTGACCCAAAACCATCTCCCACCCAAAACATACACAAGGTACCTTCAGAACTGACACCTGTGATCCAACACCCCTATCCCACCGAAAACATACACAAGGTACCTTCAGAACTGACACCTGTGACCCCAAACCAATCTGACCTCAAACATACACAGGGTACCTTCAGAACTGACACATGTGACCCAACACCAATCCCACCGAAAACATACACAAGGTACCTTCAGAACTGACACCTGTAACCCCAAACCAATCTGACCTCAAACATACACAGGGTACCTTCAGAACTGACACCTGTGACCCAACACCAATCCCACCCAAAACATACAAAAGGTACCTTCAGAACTGACACATGTGACCCAAAACCATCCCCACCCAAAACATACACAAGGTACATGTACCTTCAGAACTGACACCTGTGATCCAACACCCCTATCCCACCGAAAACATACACAAGGTACCTTCAGAACTGACACCTGTGACCCCAAACCAATCTGACCTCAAACATACACAGGGTACCTTCAGAACTGACACATGTGACCCAACACCAATCCCACCGAAAACATACACAAGGTACCTTCAGAACTGACACCTGTAACCCCAAACCAATCTGACCTCAAACATACACAGGGTACCTTCAGAACTGACACCTGTGACCCAACACCAATCCCACCCAAAACATACACAAGGTACCTTCACAACTGACACCTGTGACCCAACACCAATCCCACCCAAAACATACACAAGGTACCTTCAGAACTGACACCTGTGACCC